AGAACAGAACAGAACAGAACAGAACAGAACAGAACAGAACAGAACAGAACAGAATAGAATAGAATAGAATAGAATAGAATAGAATAGAGCTGGAAGGGATCTTGGAGGTCTTCTAGTCCAAACCCCTGCTCAGACAGGAGAACCTATATCTATACAGCAGGAGGGGGGTGAGGGGGTGAGGATGAAGCGACTCTCTTTTGGAGTAGAATAAAATATTAAAATCAAATCTCAACTTTTTACTTTTCCATAAGAATACAAACTATCCACATCTATCACAAAAAAACGGTCAAAGGTCCCTTTTTTTCAGTACTGCTGCCACTTCAGTCATTAAAAGAACCGTTGTAAGTCAGGGACACCCCCCATGCAGCTTATGGGGGGGATTGTGCCCGGCTTAAGTCCATTTCCATGGTAGCTTACTCAGCTACCCCGCTGGCGGGCTTAGCCAAGCCGCCGCTCGCCCCCTCCGCTCGCCCTCCCTGCTGTCTACCTATCTCCCACCATCTCTCCTCCGCGGCGCGGGCCATCCGCAGCGGATGCTGCGCAGGGAGCTCTCTGATTGGCCCTCCCGGCCCTGACGTAAACGCGGCACCACCGACTCCTCTGCATCAGCATCACAATCCGGCCACGCCCTGCGTGGACCCGCCTGCCCATTTTCCCCTCCGGGGTGGGGGAGCCAGTCAGCTGAGCCTGCCAGCTGCGGAGCTCAAGGATCTTTCTTCTCCTTCGCGTTATCCTGTCCAGCCAAGTCGGAGGTGGGGGAAGCGGAAAGGAAGAAAGAAGGAAGGAAAGAAAGAAAGAAAGGGGGAAAAAAAGAGGTCTTCCCTCTCCCAAGCCCCCCAACCCAAAATAGAGAGGCGCCACCAAGAGACGCCATGGCACCCGCTGGCTTGAAAGCGGTGGTGGGAGAAAGTAAGTCGTGCCCTTTTCGTTTTTATTCATTTCCCTCCCCCCTCCCCAGGTCTTTGGGTGGCAGGAACCAGGGGGAGGGGGCTACGTGGTGGGACCCTCTCCCCTTTTCGAAGATGGAGAAGGGGGAGCCCTATAGCTCGGGGAAGGGGGGAAGGGCTCCCATCCCCTCCCCACCCCCGGTGCAAGAAGCTGTGCGCAACGGTTTGCGCTTGAAAATCTGCCTGGCTTTGACGCGGGGAGATGGGGGGAGAAGGATGGAAGGAGAAAGCGTAGGAGAGAGAGGGGGTGGGAGAAAAGGAACGGGCGAATGTTGCTGAGGGAGGGAGGGAGGGAGCTGGCCTTGTAGCAGCCATTGACGGTGCAAAAAAAAGGGGGGGGGGAGAAGAGGGGGAGAGACAGCGGATTCGATTCGAGCCAAGCCAGGCTTTTCCTGCGAAGCTGAATCCTGCTGCTCTCTCTCTCGCTGTGTGTGTGAGTGAGTGAGTGAGTGAGTGTGCATATATATGTGAATATATATGTGTGTGTATGTGTGTGTGTATGTGTGTGTGTATGTGTATGTATATATGTATATTCCTGCAGAGGAGATGGGTTAATATTTTGCTGCTTCCCCCACCCCCCCACCCCAGCCTTGTCTCTCCTGTTTTTTAAACTGGAGGGGATGAGCAAACAGTTGAGTAGAACGGCTTTAGGCTGAGTGCATTTAGAATGCAAAATGTAGATTTATCCTTCAAGCAGGAATAATAAGGGTGAGAAATTCTGCATCGGGGTGCATCCCTGAATTTCTTACGCTTAGGAGACGAGAGGCACAGCTGGAGGCTAAAATATTTTGCAAAATGAATGTGCAAGAGCAAGATTTTTTGCCCTGATGGGTTTGTTTTTTTAAAAAATGACACCTGTTTTGTTTTTCTTCCCGGCATCTTTCGCTTCCTCTCATATTTTCTGCCCCCAGTTCAACAAGAGAGTGGGTGGGGGGAATCTGGTAAATAGATTGAAGTGTCAAATCTTGCAACAACCCTGCAAAACAATTTGGGGGCTTAGGAATGAAGAGGTGGCAAAGATGCAAAATTATCTCTTGTCTTTTTCTCCTGTCTATTCCAACCTTTTAAAAATATATATAGTACATTTAGGAGGAGGAAAACTCCTCTAATTTTCTAGTTGTGGGGCAAAACTAGATTCTTAAAGCAATTCCTTTGAACAGTTTGCAAAGTCTCGATGTTCCCTCATCTCTTTCATTTTGCCATCCCACCCCCCTGAAAAAAAAAAATTCCCTGTATGTGGTAGCTCTGATTTTTAAAAGAAGAAGGGAGGCTGTTTTGCACACGGTCCATAAATGCTGTTTATTGCTCCATTTACATGTAGTTATGCGGTTTGGGTCACCATTTTAAAAGCAGATTGTAAGGATGGTGCACTAAAGTCCATTCTCTCCTCTCTGTAAAGTCAGAATATTGACATGCTTAAAATAATTAGCAATGTGCCTGAAAAATTTGATTGTTTTGCATTTGGACCCAACTTCTTGGGAGGTTGTGCCAGAGGTACCAACCTGTGTTCTTATGCCTGCTTTGAAATGGAACATTCTAGTTTGGCTTGCTTAAAACTCCTTTGAGCTGTCTTCGGCAATTACAGCTAAGCCATTTTTTCCCCCTAAGCGGATTAACCAGGGTGCATCGGGCAATAATTGCCTTGCAGGTTGTGGTGTGTGTGTCTGTGTGCGTGCATCTGCCGTGGTTGACCCTCTTTAGAAGATTAGAAATCCAGTAGGGAAGATCATTTGCCTCCCATCCAAATCACCTTTCGTGCGTTGTTTTATTTTTTTACATTTTTATTTTATGTAAACATTCCATCTTCCATTAAACAGTGTGTTGTCTGGTTACAAATGTTTCTGTGCTAAATTCACAAGAATATACATTATGTTAATATTGATTTTCTTATCTTATAATCATTATATTGTATATAGAATAGAATAGAATAGAATAAGGAATAGAATAGAATAGAATAGAATAGAATAGAATAGAATAGAATAGAATAGAAT